GGGTTTGTTGAAAGACTAGCTGTTGGAACCTGTGCATGAATTTGTGCTGGTTTGAATACCTTCTGTGTTGCAATCTTATGTAAGATCCCGTAGGGATTCGTATTGTTGTTACAGAAGGTACGCCAGCTTGTCACTTTTGCAGCGAGAATATTCTTCTTATATTTAGCCCGCTCTTGCCGGTATGTAGTCAGAATCTGTGCTTTGGTCTCTCCGTCCACGTTGCCTCTTAGTCTGCGGCGCAAAGCTCTGCATTTTTGTCTTTGTTGCCTTAGTTCGCCGGTCCACCAAGAGATTCCTTGTAATTTCTTGGTTGTACGGAGGGGTAAAATTTGTTGACATATTTCATTAAGTTCCTCTAGAAGTCCTTGTGCAAGGGAATCAAGGTGTTCTGAGTTGTTGCAAGATTCTAGCTGCAATTCTTTTGCTTGCAGGAGACGAGTAAAGGCCTGTGTCAATTGTCTAACCTTGTTACCTGGCAGCCTATAGCGTTTAATTATAGAAATGGTGGTATCTGTTTTGTATAGTAAATTCTACGTATTTATGATCTGAACAACTTTCAGAGTCTGAGACATGCCATGAATGTATTTGTTAGCAATATCATAAGTTGAGATCGTTAAGTCTGGCCATCCTTGATTGTACGAATTATCGAATGTAGGGTGGTGCATTCGTTGTATTGTGCAATTGTAAATTGTTTGCCGCAATATAATCTTCAAGCTCCTGCCCTTTTGGATTTGTGGTACTATACCCCCATATAATATGATGGGCATTAAAGTCGCCTCCTATGACTTGAGCTGTGTTTGGAAATTTTCTACTTGTTTCGCTTATGTGGGCGACAGTGCTGCCAATTGCATCTGTTGGTGGTGAATACACCGAAGTAAGGATAAATTGCATATTTTCAAAAATGATTAGAATGGCGACATAATCCCTATGCAGCTTGATGACTTGTGGTGTCCATGCGGGGTTGCAGCAGGCAATTGCTACTCTAGGAGCAAGATCTGCCGTCGGGGGACTCCTTTTGGTATATTTTCCATGCAATAGGTAAGCTAGCGACGTGACCTTCTCTACAGTATGGTTCCTGCATGATTACGAGGTCTATGTCGTTGGAAATAACTTGCGTGAGGACATGAGATGTTGCTGCCTCAGCCCTTTGAAGATTGATTTGCAGGCATTTGATGATACTTGTGCTTAGTGTACCTATGTTCCTGCTTGATGGAGGTATAGTATGTGGAGAGAGAATCTGCATATGATTATTGTTATATTAGATTGGATTACAGGCGTGTTGTTGTTAGCATTAGTAGCAGATAGACTATTCATAGATAGTGCTGCGTTTGATCCGTTCGACGTATCTCGTGTATGTTGGACAGGCAACATCATAGGCTGGATGGTCGCAAGCTTTATTGTCTCGGTTGCGGTAGTTACTGTCTGCACAGTTGATGCATGTGGCTCGTCTGGCTTGACAGTCTTTGATTGCATGATTCCCCGAGCAGTATGCACAATAGATTTTTATTTTGGCATCCCTGCTGGGTATGGCCAAATGCTTGACAGCGGTAGCACCTCTTAGTGTTGAAGTACTCTGAGATTCGATGTGCCCGCCAGCCGATGAGTAGTTTTCTGGAGCGCATGAGTTGTTGGAAGGCATCGGGATTACATTCGACAATCCACTTGACTGTGTTACTCCTTTCTTTGAGCCTGTACAGGATTTTGGCATTATTCTTGTTAATATGGAGTTCTAAACTGATGACTCGTCCAAGTTCCTCCTGTGTAACGCTTAATGGGATATTGTGTATAGCAACCCTGGGAAGCCTTGTTGTTGGGATCTTGGTTTGCAAGAATTCTTTAGCCTTTTCAGTCTGCAGTTTTTCCGAGAGTGCGTGAATGTCCTCCTTTGTATGGCAATCCACTGCAAGTCCTTCCTGCGGGATGTATCTTAATGCTGCTACTTGAACTCCCCAATGTGGGGTAACGGAAATTCAGCAGTCAATTTTTCTTTTAACACTTTCCTGGATGTTGTGGACGGGTCTTTAGGGTAGATCAGCAAGGTGTGTTTAGGCTTTTGCGCCGTTACACTTGCGTAGGACTTTCGATTGTCTGTTGCCTTTTGCGCTAGATTAGGTGCAGCTGTGATGTGTTGCTGTTGATTTGCTAGTTCACACGCGAAAATACTGGATGTGTTGACTGCTTTATCGACGGTATCCGGAGGTGGGATATACTCAGATACTCCCAAAGCCAGAATTCGGAAGGCTTCAACCGTGTCTATCAGTTGCTTTCGCAAGCCTAGGGGTAGAATATTTTTGCCACCTCGAAAGGAAGTTGCGATCTTTTTAATTTCGTCAGTGAATTTATCAATCTTCTCAGTATAGCTTATGTCCGAGGTAATGAATGTTTGCAAAGCAAATTCTCTCGAGTAAGTGGAGGAATCTATGTCACTCATCGTATGGGAAAGGATCTAAGTTTTTCTCGACAGTACTGCGTTTGGTGCTGAATTTTTATATTTCTATCTGGAATACAGGAAAAAGTCAAATTTTCTTACCTTGGCAGCAGTATTTCATCTGTCCTTCATCTGTATAAAGGTATTCCATAGTAATCCAAAGGCACATAGACACTGAAACACAACACTGCACTGTAATAGGAAGTCAAACTACGCAATTTTGCAGCTTGAAAATTCTAAGTTAATAAATGTCGAAAAAATTATATCTTTGGAACCAGTGGGCCGATCACGACCAAAATTTGAAACTTCTGCTTCTGAAGATAGATGATGAAGATTGCCGTTTATTCCAGCATGATACAGCAATTAGGAAATTAATTAGCAGGCAGCTAATAAATTCCTCTCCCAATTTTATAGAAGAGAACTCGGAGGGGGGCTGATCCGAGGGTCTTCCATCTCTCTTCCGGCCCACCAGCGGCCGAGCGGTAAAGTCGCTGAACACTGGTAGTTCGGTCCGAGGTTCGAATCCCGCGAACGGGCTGGCTGCATGGGTGTTTTCGTGGTTTTCCCCATGTGTACGTGTATACGAGCCAGTTTCCCTTGGAAAGTCCTCCACGAAAGGCATCCCTCCTCTTAGGCAGATAGCCCTAGTGTGCTTTGCCATAATTAAAAATACACCAATACACCATCTCTCTTCCATGAGCGTATCCTTTACTTTATATAACCTTTCTCAATCTATATGGCATGGATTCAACTAGCTTAGATTTCTCTTTTGTGGTTTTGTTTCATTCTTCTACAGTGACAGATTTGAGCATTTCTTTGAATGCTATGTCGGGCTCCCTGATTTTCCGTTGGAGTAAATCCCACAAAAGCTCTGTTATAGCTAGTTCTGTGAACTGGGATAGTGGATAGAATTGGTTTGCCACATTGCATAGCAACCATAGCCTCGTAATATACACCATGTGCTTGGAGTTCTGATGAAAGATAAAATCTTTACTCACCCCAAGTTTTTCGGCACTTGCCCCAGATTTTTCTTCAGTATGTTCAAGTAATCAGTTTATTCATTATTGAGTCAACTCTCGATTACTAACCCCGAATCATAACGCATTATCTTCCATGGTCGAGACAAATTTCTCTTTCATTAGCTCTGTACAGGGCTTATATTTTCGTCCTTAGATGCCAAATATACAAAACTTCCTTTCATCCGAAAACATTACTCTTTCTAAAATCATTTATTTCATTCCTTAGGTATTCGAGCCCACCAGCGGCCGAGCGGTAACGTCGCTAAACACTGGTAGTTCGGTCCGAGGTTCGAATCCCGAGAATCATGGCTGCATGGGCGTTTTTGTGGTTTTCCCCATGTCTATATACGAGCCAGTTTCCCTTAGAAAGGTCCTCCACGAAGGCATCCCTCCCTTAAGGCAGATAGCCCTCGAGTGCTTTGCCGTAATCTAATAAAACCAAACCAAACGAAAACTTAGGTATTCTATTGGTAAAGGTCATTTTCTTAGCTCTGTTCACTCGAGAGTTAAATTGCATCTCCCGTGCAACACGTGTGCATTCGTGAAAAGTCATGATTTTTCAGTTCTCTTCCAATTCTGCTTAAACTCAGGGTCTTGGAATCTCTCAGCAGTACTCTTAGCTAATTTGAAGTTTAAATTCTTGGATTTATTTTTACAGAACGGATTTACAAAGCAGGATTTCCGAAACAACAGTGTTAGACAAGCGACTTAATTTTGACGTCAAACGGGCAGCTGATTTGTAGTTCTGATCGCTTTTAAAATTGGTGAATGTCTCCTGTTAAGAGTTTTAGCAATTGTTCTAAGAGATTTCCCCTGTTTAAAGATATACGATAATCTTTCTTTCAAGAACGTTGATCTCTTTTCTGTTACCTGCCATGAAATCATACAAGCATTCAAAAACTCAGATTCTATTTAAACCGTAGATACAATAACTTAACACTCTTTGGTGCAATTATGTGGCTTTAAACACCCTCTTTTCTATATATATGTTGATTTCTGGTGGGGAGGGACCTTTTAATAGTTTGGAGGTGATTCTTATTTTTTATGTAAAGGTGGTTTGTGTATTTTTGTTTATATCAAGTAAGCTTGAAGAATTATTAAAAGGTGTTATGATTTTTCCAAACGAGATTTCCAAACGCGAGTTTCAATAGTGAACATGGAAGATGATTGCCCGTGCGTAGACTTTTGGCGGTAGGTGTATATAAATCCAAACATGCACAGAAACCTCCTATAAAGACTTGAGCCAAATAATTACATCAATAAATTTTTACTCAGTTATTTAATTCGGGGGGAACTGATTAGTAGATTATAAAATACAGTATTGAATCAATACGTAAATACATATACGGAGACAAATGCCTTATTGCCGATACTGCGCGCACCAGCGTATATCAACTAAGGTAATTCTACTCTTTAAGAACTTTAAGAATTCAAATAAAGTTTACATTTCTAACGCTTAGCAAATGTTATTGGGACCTATATCTATATCTTTTTATTGGTTTTATTTCAGTACCGCAGAATATGCATGATAATTTTAATTTCTTTACCAATAGATCCACATCAGCCAAAAAAACCAAATGCCGATGCTGATGGCGCCACCTGCCACACGAAGATCAAAGTTCCCTTTCTTTTTCTTCAAGAGAAAGAAGTAAATGTGCCAACTGATCGCATCATGTAAGTATAGTTACTTGTCGTTTCTTTTAGAGTGAACGTCACCTTCAGAAAAAGCAGCTATTCTGGTGCTCGTATGTAAAATAAAGAAACAAATATATCAAAGGAGAATGGAGGTTAAAAAGACAATCCTATTAACAGTATGATTTCAAATCTATACCTATACTACTAAATTTTTAAAGGTATTGTGTTTAAAATCAGCCTGTAATTTCTCCTAAGACTGTTTTTCCTTGATAAAAACAAGTATTGGAGTTCCTGAAAGAATGCTTTAGGGTTCTACGTTATCTTATATGGGCCCTGTTCGTATAGCATTAAAACTGTTACAAACTTGAATAACAGTTTAACACGACATAAAGGAAGAGAACATCGATTCAGGATCGGAAACTGATTCCGCTATTGGTATGTCAAAAAAGTGCAAGTAATTAAAGGTACAGAAATTCGTAGTCAAGGGAATAGCTTGGTCACATTTTATAGAAAATGCTGAACAACGGCCTACTGTAAAAGCTTTAAGCATCACAAAAAACGGAAAAAAAAAAGGATGTGGACACCACATGACTTTCTTGTACGGCCTATTAAATTATATACATTTTTTGCTGCATTTCGCTTAAGCTTACTTTTCCAAATTTCATTAGACATATATTTCTCATCCAATCCATTTCGTTCTCACTTTGCGGTAAGGCAAAACGACATATAAACTCAATATATCTGTATTAAAAAATGTAAAACTTCAGAGACAAACATAAAACACCAAATACAGTTTAAAAAACTAATTTTTGCAATTAGAATTAGAGTTTTTAAGCAAAAACAAGCATTTCGGCCAACGGGCAAGAAGACATTTTTCGGTGCCCAAAACTGAAAGTTTACTTTTGCTGCCACTCTTAAAAAAGACTCTGAAGTTGGTGCAGAAACCAACTTAATTTAATATTCTACTAAGTTTCAAGTGTAAACAAATGACGGCCTCGTTAGTACCACTTAAACAACTTTTAAATTGTTGATAATTCTACTACTATTGCATGCGTATTAACTAAAGGCATAAAAACCTTAACAGAACACCATAATTCAATTTTAAAGCAAAACAAATTCACAATTTATTAGTTTATAGGTATTAAAAACTGAGCTCACCGAGCCGATTAACAGAATGGTAATATATATGAATATTCATATACTTTTGATGTAGCCGATTGCAACCAAAAAGGACAGTGCATAACTACATGTTACAGAAATCCCATATACAAAATGTCAATGTTCTGAGATTACTCGTTTTTGAGTTATGCCAGATACATACATACATACGTACATACAGAAGTCACAAAAAATATCTTCTGAATCCGTTTTAAATCTATTTTACGATCCTTTTTGGGAAAAAGTGTCCTTTCTTCCGTCCATACGTACAGATGTCGCGCAAAAACATTCGAGAGCGGTTAAAACGGATATTTTCCTTGAAATATGATACCCTAAATTTTTTAGGATTACAATGTTTCCTTTACTTCGTACAAAGAAGTAAAAAGAAATAGAAAAGAAACGCTTTTCATTATTATATCGTAATGGATTTTCTTTTTTACTATGTGCCTTCATGGTGTAATTGGAAGCATGTTCTTCTGGCAATCAGATGGTCTAGAGTTTGAGTTCCTACTAGGAAATTGCTGATTTTTCATGTTTTCTGCTCCGACGTAAATCTAATGGCATTGTAATGGACGCCTGAATTCAAATGTGGTGGACAATAATTCGTCGCCATCTGGATAGTGATTGATTCTCCGCTTTCACAATAGCCCTTTAAATGGGGAAGAATGTAAGGGATTTTTGTCTTTCCTTACTGCATACCTTTGCGGTATAATTGAAATCCCGTCCAGTGGACAGCGGAAGGTCAAGAATTCGCGTTCCGGCGAAGCCATTCCTCGTTTACCGTGTTTGCTACTCCGAAATAAAATGTAATCGCTCCACAATATTATTAAAGTAGTATCAGCTTCTTTGTTCAGATGAGCTGTTTCTGACAGTTGGACGAACGAATTAAAACTGAATTTTTTATAGATATTCACACACAAAAAAATAAAATAAAAAAAAAAACCCACTAAAATTGAATATTGATGTTTGAATTTTATCTGGCAGTCTGTCTCCTTATATTGTTTATTCCATTGCTTTTATGCATTCCTTTTGTGATTTCAAACGCCTTTTTCCTCCCACTTTTGTTTTCCTTGCAAAAGCCTTGCTAATTATTAGCCTTTGAAGACTTTAATTATCTTTTGTTTCTTTCTGTTTTCAAGTGATCTTAATTAAGTATTTTAATTAATTTTTTTTTTCTTTCGGCGTGCGCTGTCTAGATTTTAAACCTCACTTTATCAGTCTTTTCAAGAAGCAATCCTTTCCTCTGTTGATAGCGCAAGACAAATGTCAGACAACGTAATTTATCCTCTGTAGCTTAGAAAGAAAATTAGCGAATATTATCAGAGAGCTTTTTCGTTTATTACGTGGACCTTAAAATTCAGATTGCAGCTTTTTTTCAACATGAAGATTTGTGTAAAATATAACCGAAAACTATTTTCAGGAAAGGTTGTTTTTAAAGCATAAAAAGTTTATGTGCGTTTCCTTTCCCCTCCCAAAGGAGATCAAAGCATTTTTTCTAATTAAATGTCTACGATTCTAATGGTACCTAATTTAAGCAGAGTGCTATTTTCTTTCTTACTTGTACAAATTCGTGTCTCTAAACTAGATTAATTTGTTTACTTCCGTTAAAAATGTAAATAAAACTGAAATATGAAATAAAAATGAAAACTACTTGGTATATTTCAATTAAAAGAGCACTTTTAATTTTAAAAACAAGAAATTATTTTTTTCCTCAGAGTAAAACATTATACAAATTACAGTGGCTCAAATTTTTTTGGGGCCACTTTTCGAAACTTATTTACAAAAAATATTTATTATACATAAAGAATTGACCTGAGGATTTTGTTCACGTGTGCCGCTGTTCATTTCTTTCAAAATCTGCAGGTTGAAAGAAAAAAATATCTTCAAAATATTCTTAAAACCAAATAGTTTATTCAAAATATACTCGAAATGAACTGTCACAAAACTTAGAACACGTAGTTAATATTTAACAAAATTATATTTAATGAAATAAATTTTTTATTTTACACTTTTTTTAACGTTTTGTGTGTTACCTTTATTTATTAAATATCATGTTCTTCGCATGTAAATAAAATTCTGTTCAAGAGCAATATCGCAAAATAATTTTAAAATGAGGATATCTTTAGAACTTCCGATACAGTCTCACGCGCTGGAGATAAAAATGTTTTTTCTGTACAACGTTTCCATTGCTCGCATTGAAATTCTTGAATTTGTTAACCAAAATTCGTTAAAGTTTTACAAAATATGAAATCGATAATAAACAAATTTCAAATTAAAGTTAGTGCTTCTACATGTCCATATTCTATGGAAGATTACGTTATTCAAAATTGGATGGTCTAGGTACCATTGTTTTATCATAGTGCGAGAAACATGCATACATTTATGCAGATTCTTCATTATTTAATTTTTTCAGTTTTAAACAGGGCGATAATATTTGATGTCAACAATTTTAAAATTGAAACGGACATTCAGATGGATTCATTCGTCACAAAACAAAAACAATTGTCCGTCAGGAACAAAGTCCCCCTTTAGTCTAATAACAGAACATTGAATCCTTAGTTTGATGCCTTTAAATTCAAATTATATTTTTATTCACTTTCTTCAATTAAAGTTTTCACAGAGCAGTGTTCGATATTTTTGCAAATACCCGTCAAAAATTACTTTCACTTGTGCTTTTGAAAAGATACATTTTTCTTTTTTCTCCTGTCCAATTCATTTCATATAAGCTCAATAAAGTCCGGAGAATGTGGAATATGTTCTGTAACTCATGAGCATCTGTTCAATAGATATATAGAAAAATATGTAAAATTAGGAGTCATTGTCCTAATAGTAGTTCAATGCGTTTGCGTTCCAAGATTTTTCATTCCAAAAACTTTTTTATTTTAGTACTGACTCACGGTATTTCAAAAGTCCTATAAAAACTTAATTTTGCATATGAAGTGAACATCCCCACCTTGGTGTTTAGAAGTAGAAAACAGGATTTTCAAATTTAGTTCTGTAATGGCCTTCCGTCACACAGTAATATCCGTCCATGCGATCAAAATATATTAAATTTTGAATCATCGGCGAATACTAACTTACGTAAATGTGATAAATCTTTCTTTACCATGGATTTTGCTGATCGGAAATATATTCCTTGTTTTTCTTCATGGTTCATGGTTTCTTTATCATGGATTTCATGGTAAAGAAACCATGAAATTACCATGGATTTAAATACAGTTCTGTTCAAGAGTTCCAACTTCCCGCTCGATCAATATATGTACACGGAGCCCCGAAAGTCTACGTACATTCATCAAAACAACTTTATTTGCATTTATACTGATATTTAAAAAAAATAATTCAAAAATATCTGAAATCAGATTTCAGATTTTATACTACGCCCAACGGGCGATTTTTTAACGTTTTGTGTGTTACCTTTATTTATTAAATACCATGTTCTTCGCACTTAAACCATAAAATTCAGCTTAAGATTGTTGCTTAATTAAGAGCAATATCGCAAAATAATTTTAAACTGAGCCTATGCTTAGAATTTCCGATACAGAGTCTCGCTCGCTGGAGATAAAAGTGTTTTTTCTGTACAAAGTTGCCACTGCTCGCTTTGGAAATCCCTGGGTCTTGTTAATTAAAAATTCGTTAAAGTTTTACAGAATATGAAATGGATAATAAAACAAATTCCAAATTAGGGTTTCCAGGTGCCCATATTCGGGTGTAAACGAACGTTATTCAAAATTGGATGGCTCTAGGTGCCGTTGTTTTATCACTGTACGAGAAACATACGTACATTTATGCAGATTCTTCATTATTTAATTTCTTTAAAGGGCTATAATATTTAGTGGCAACCATTTGAAAAGTGATTCGCCGTTATAGTGAATTGACGCAAAATGCCAAAACGAAATTAGCCCTTCTGAGCAAATCGATCCTTTGGACTAAAAAAAAAAAGGAAATTCTAAAAGGTTTCAGATTTTATATTATTATTATAAATATATTTATATTGCCACTGAGAATTCAGAAAGTGATTTGAAATGTGATATAGTCGTTCAAAGTCATTCAACACAAAATACTGTTAGACATCGTGACGTCTTTACGTTGCTACTCTACCAGCATAAATCGTTGAATTTGTTAACCAAAAATTCGTTAAATTTTACAAAATATAAAATAGATTTTAAGGATTATATGTTAATTTTATTGACAGTTAAATTTTAATTTCCTTTCCTGTGGATTCTTAACTTTAACTTACTACTTCCGGCCAGAAAGTAGTTTTAGAATCACGTCTGAATACGTAATGAGGAAGAGCGGTATTTAACCGCAATGTTCTTCGAATATGGGCTTCCAGATGCCATATTCAAGTGGAGGACTACGTTATTCAGAATTTGATGTTTATAAGTACCTTTTTTTTTCACAATGCGAGAAACATACATACATACGTACATGCAGATTCTGCATTATTTAATTTCTTTAAATATAATACAGGGATAATATTTGGTGGCAACATGCCATTAAGCCGTTTATGGTGAACCGACACAAAATGCCATTTCGAGACTAATAGCCCTTCTGGGCTAAGGCCCTTTGGAGTAATAAAAACAAAATCTTATGCTGCATGAATTTGGAAGACAAGGCTTTCAGGACTAGCAATTAGCCAGATCGCTTTGAAAAATATTAAAGGTCTTACGTGACGTCGCATGGCGTCACCTTTCAGAAATGCTAATTTGCTAGTTTGTGTGGAGAATTAATGTAGCAGTTGCGTAGCTCCACGTGGTGAACGAAGAAAAGAAGGTAGTTTAATATAGTACCATTATGAACTGAGAACTTATATTGTTCTGATTTTCTTGTAGCATTAGGCTTCTCTCAAGTAGGTTACAATTATTGAAACAAGTGAAACGTTTCACATTTTTTTAAATATAAAGATAGTTGCTTTTATTAAGTTCATCACTAATTATACAAAATTTTGAAATAAACTAGTCTGTTCCATGATCTAAAGGAATAAAACTGCTAGTGAAAATCTTAATAAATATGAAATTCTTGTGAACTATCAGGATAAATAGATGCTGATCAACTTATGCTTTCACGCTTTAAATATCAAGAAATTATTTTACAAGATCCACAGACATAATGCAATTATCATCTCCTAAAATAAAGTTTTTGTAAACCCCGCTCCAAAAAAGGAAATTCTAATCAGATGAAAAGAATTTTTTTTAAAAATTTTTTGCATTTTTATGTTTTACCTTCCTAAATTAACTATTTTTACTTCCTTGTACGAAGTAAAAGAAATATTGTAATCGAAAAACATTTCGGGTACTATAGTTCAACGAAAACAGCCATTTTGATAGTTTTCGAATCTATTTGAGTGATTTTTTTTTTTTTTTTTTTTTTTTTTTTTTTTTGCGTGACTTCTGTGCATATGGACAGAATAAGTGATTTTGCCCTGATGACGGATTGTAAAATGGATTTAAAATGGATTCAGAAGAGATTTTTTTTCGTGACGTCTGTACGTACGTATGTATGTATGTATCTCGCATAACTCAGAAACGAGTAGACTCAGAACACCTCCCTTTTTGGGTGCAATCGACCGCACCAAACGTATATAAATATATATCACTCTGTTACGCAACTCGATGAGCTCAATTTTCTTATTCTTGTATGATGGTAAGTTGTGCATTTTTGCTCTAAAAGTGTTTGGATATTATCTTATTATTATGTTCTAGTAAAGGTTTTATGCCTAATACGCATGCAATAGTTGTTAAATTATGAAAAATTTGAAAGTTTATGTGGTGCTAGACTTAAAGAGGCCGCCATTTATTCACATCTGAAACTCTTAGAAGGATAGTGAATTAAGTCTGTTTGTACAGCAACTTCGGTGTCCAGTGCGATTGAAAGTTAAATTTCAGTTTTTTGCACCGAAACTTTGGTGTTTCTGCCTGCTGGCTGACTTGCTTGTTTGGAGTACAAACTCTAATTTTAATTTTAAGAAATGTTTTTTAACTGTTTGTTTTTAAATGTATTTAGTGTTTTATGTTTTTCTGTATTTTACAATTTTTAATGAAACTGTTTTGAATTTGTGTGGTTTATCTATTTATTTTTAACTAAATATTTAAGTTTATAAACGAAAGTTTTTAGAGAAACGTTTTCCTTTCAGAAGTATACTTTCCAGAAGCAGAACCTTCTTCTGACTGGCGGCTTACGCAAAACTGAATTTCCAGCGTAATTTTACCACCAGCATCGCAAAATATTGCAAGAGCGTACATGAAACAGATGGCTGAACATAATATTTTCCCTAAATATGGGGTAGAAATCTGTTGTTCAAACTAGTTCTGAGTGAAATGCGTTTCTTGGAAAAGTTTGTTATTCGGTTTTGCGTCTGTTGGTCTGATAAAGTTCGGACGAGAATGGGAATAAAATTGGATGTTTTTCAATGAATCTTTTACATGCTGTCTTAGGCTGTGTACAAGTCGATGTTTGCTATAATTATAGGATGTAACTCTCCTTGTCCTCATAAACTAATCTAAATCCTACTAATGAACCTGGCGACTTCTCTCACAGGCATGAAATTGTACGAGCACAGAAGAGTGAAAATAACCCTTTATTAATTTCAATTATGAATAGAAAAGCACGTACTTCGTGCTTTACAATGATCAGAAAGGCACGTACTTTACAATAACAACGACAACTTGCGATGGAAACTAAGAATTTTCAACACAATAAATTCAAATCTAAAAAGAATAGTGCTGGTCTAGCACTCTAAGTTGCGGATAATCTAGCTTGACTCGACAAATCTAACAGGCGTGATAATTATTCAAATGGCCAAACGCCGTATCAGCGTAACAGCAAGGTCAGAAGCGAAACTTGCACTGGCTAGCGAAGACACGCTCTGAATAAATGTTTAAATATTCACTTAAAAAATTTTCATTCTGGCGACGAAATGCAAGGGAAGTTGAGGCGTTCAAGAAGGGTAACAAAAATTTGAATAGTAGGTTAAATAACTAAGGGAAACCCTACATAATGACCGCTAATTATATCGATATTCGTCATAGCGCCTTTTTCTCTAGAATGTGACGGATCGTTGTAGCAGAGCTTCATAAGTATTTGCGGCATTTCGTATTTTTCTACTTTATTTGTGGCATTATGTGTGCGAAGTTTGATGAGTGTAATGCAAATGATTTTTAAATTTACTATGTACTGCTTCAGTATATGATTTCTTCCTTTCTTATCTCGGATTAGGTAATGAAGTTTTTTCACATTATAAGTAGAGTGCATCGTGTAAGCGTTTTTACAAAGTATTTAATTCGTGTTTGCTTTTTTGCAGGTGGCCAATGGCTCGGCTTTCAGCGTTCCAGAAGAAAATGGACTCCTCACCACATAACATCCCTTTGTATAATCTTTATGTGAATCTCCAGTCAACACAGGAATTTTGTTTCTCCTTTTACCATATTCAACTTATCATGGTCGATGTGTTCTGTACAGCTATTCGTAGATAACTTATTCATTCGCTTCTTGTTCTCTGTACATTATTTGATTGTCCCTCGTTTCCAAAGATATTCGAGGTACCCGAATGTGATGTAAATTTTTATCTGTGTCTCTAAATATTTTGCGTGTTATATTTTTATTTCATCATATATCTCCTTGCTCCGTGTATAGAAATTTTGATAAGTTTCGCACTCAACTGATTACTCGAATTTCGAAGGCACTTAATTCTTAAAATATGCCATCTGAATTTGTTCGGAAATCTTATCTCTCATATCAAATATTAGTAAAATTCACTAGTTATCTGACACTGGTTAATATGGCTATGTCATGACAATGTAATCATGCTCTGTGATGACTGTAAAAAAAATGTAGTATTTTCTGTAAAAAGATGCACAAAAATTAATTTAAAATTGATAATTGTAAAAATGTGCATAATTTGAAATATTTTCATGGAATATTTCTTAAAGTACTTTGAACTGATATTTAGCAGAACTGTTTCGAAGTTACATTTATTATAATTCTAGAACAATTAGTCATTTTTAAAATTTCCATTGAATATCGATTTTAAAATTAACTAAATATAGCTAAATGAAAATTACTCAAAATTTGTATTGAGAATTTTGTTTTTAAACTTCGCATACGAGAACCGTAACTAATGATTTGAATACTTTCCTTTTGTTACCTCTAAATGTACGAAGATTCAAATAATAACTGTTGCGTTCTAAATAAAGAACTAAAATATTTTCGCTGAAGCAAACTCTTTCTTGCTTCTAATTAAATTATTTCATATATTTCATAAGATGCGAAAATATCATCATAACTACTGTCTTTTAATTGCATTACAAAGAAATTATTCTAAATGCACAAATGCTAAGCATACATTTAGGCAAACTTCTATGATATCGTAAGTAATCTACCGCTGATTCGTTTGGTGCTAATTTAGCCTTTTCGTAATTGAGATATTAGGTTTATGAATCCAGGAAATTATTTTAAACTCTATATTAGGTTTCTATATGTATTTGTACTTTTTAATACAATTTAAACCTTTTAAATGTTTAAGAATAATAGAAATTTGGTTTTTTAAATACTTAATTCTATTTCTTGAAATAGAATTAAATTTGCTGTTGAAACTTCTAACTAAACTAGAACTCACAATTTACTGTGAAACTTACTTTTAGGTAACAAAAGCGTGATTATCTTTAAAAAATTGTTCTTTTTTTAAATAACTAAACACAGAACCACATAATATAAAAGTCTCCGCCCTTTCATTATTGTTACTAAATAACATGATTTATTTTAATAAAATTCCAAACGATTTAATTTGTTGCGTAACAGTCGATATAATTTAATCAAAATAAATTACGTTGGTTATTGCCATATAACACAATTTATTTTGATATATATAACAACTGTTTATATTTAATATTAAAAGAATTAGTTCTAAAAATTTATAGAAACTTAAAAGATTATTTTATTTAGAGAAACGTTATGAGTAGTTATTTAAGACTACTACACGTATTTCGTATTTAATTTATTCTATTTTTAAAAATAATTTATTTAGTTTTCAAATGTAATATATTATTTTACTAGAAAAATAATTCTATTTTATATCAAATCGATTTTCAATGGACTAGAAATTTAAAAAAAAAAATTATTAATTTTAAAAAAATAGTGCTGTACTGTACCAAAAGATTTTAGAAACAGTTCCTCTGGTCTAATAAAAAATAATTTTTCAACACTTTTCATATCCCCCAAAAAATTACATTATATGAGCAGCAGAATTGTTTCAAAGAACCGATTCAACTTTTCAGAATTTGTGACTTCGTTGCATATGCATCGTGTGATGATGATTTCGGAATGAAATCGCATGGGAACAAATGGAACAAAACTTAGAAAATCTGTACTGTAAAACTAGTCTTAGTGTTGATATTTCTAGACTAGCTTAAATTAGATTGAGTTGATTTAGGTAAAAACGTAATTCATAACTTTGTAAAAGTAGTCTTGAGTTTGGGCGCACACACACACATTTGTGTTTATTTTGTAAATAATCGTTTGGTTGATCACCGCACCCTTTGAAGGCTTAGTACTTCTCACATATTAGAAAAAGTAAAAAAAAAGGCTGAAATGTGTTATCAGAAAATGATTGAAATCAATATCGAGCTTTTACCAATTCTCTCTTTTATTAAAGGGTATTCAGTTGTGAAAATCTAAGTAGAACCGCATTTCTGGTATATTTGTTTATTATCACTTTGAATGTTTTTTTATTAAACCTAAATGTACTTCCAATCTCGCATGGAATTGATTCACTTAAATATAATGTGCTAATGCATACCATTTGTTTTTAGTTTAATGTATTTTCCTATTAATAATATATGTCTTAGTCAATCAAGTAATTATGGTCTTATAAAACAGTTCTTCCCTTCACAAACTATAATAAAATATGAGTTTAAATAGCTTAAATGATGTTTACTAATTGATAAATTAATTAAATTTCAAATCTTTCGTTATTGTTGCAAGTAAACTAATTTTAGAACACATAAATAACGGCTAATAGCGGCATTCGAAATGTATTTCGAATGCGGTTCGAAGCAATTTTTGCAGGAAAAGGTGTACAATGATTTAAAAATGAAAAAGATAAAATTTACTCCAAGGAAACGGCTTTCTTTAACACTCAGCTTAAAAATATACATTGAAGTGTACCCAAACGATTTAACATTTAGTTTCGTAGCATTTCTTGTCCAAAGAATGATACTGGTATTATCCTGATTTGGTTTCTTATAAAAATCATATAAGGAAGGGACGTTAAAATTTCTTTTAGAAATAACCAATAATTCTTTTTAAAAAGGCTACTAAGTTACCGAATGTAAATAAAAATAGGAAATAAAAAAAACATCAGCAGGAGGAAATACAGAAAAATTTTTAAGTGTATATTTAAACTGCACAAATGCATTTGTGCGATTATGCAAATACAAAACAAAACAACAACAAAACAAAACGGCATATTAAAAGTAAGACAAGTTCCTACATAGTATAATTTACTTAATGAAAATTGTTTTATTACACTATAGAACATTCCCAAATGGAATAGCTTTCATCGGCGGTTTGCACTTACGAAATGGTTATACATCACTTAAAGAAAACTTCTACAGTATGCTTGCCATACTGTGTAGCTCAAATGTAAGAGATAAAATAACAAGCACAGATTTCACAGCTGAAACCCTTAACATGATAAGTGATTATGGCTTTCTCAACCTCTTCACGGGTCTTATTATATATATCAGTTTTGTATTTCTGCATTCTTACTAGGCCTTATTCCGTGCCTCTTAATGTTATTCCGGATGACATGAAAAGAAGTTAGAACCGGCTGTCATAAACTTAGAATACGTGATCGATGCTTTTAGCATAAGCAGGCTTCTAATTATTTCCATCTGAATCTAGCACTTTTCCACTTCCAATATTTTTCTTTTGCATTGTAATCTAATCCTGTATTTTTCTTGTGCTGGACGATATTAAGTTTTCGAAGATAAGTAAAATTATTTTTGCATTATTTTAATAATTACCGTCCTATGCCGATCATGATATAATACCACTTTCATATTAAGAAAAGTTAGTCACAAGAAATCCTGTTTAATGGAAGTAACTTTATCAATCAGAATATCATTCTGTTCTTTAAAAAATTTCTGTATAGGTCAGAATGTTTATTTTTTTATCTAAACAAATTATCTATGTTTGTTCGTAAAGTTGGCTCTCAGATCTTTCAACAAAACATACCGGATTTTTACAATGGTTGTTAAATCTAATAAATTTTAATAAATTTAAAATTACCATTAATTGAAAATGTACCTGCTTTATATATAAATATTACTGCTGGTACCTCGCATAAAAAAAAAAAAAAAAAAAAAAAAAAAAAAAAAAAAAAAGGAACAGTTCCAAATTTCCCGTTCTACTGGACCAATTGTAGAAATTTAACTTGCGTTTTCCATGTCTCGAAAGCACGATTTAGGATGTATATTAGATTTATATCTAACATAGGTATTTTGACACAAAATCGGACTTTAATTCGAACATACGATTCTGAATTTACATAATTAACATACGATTTTTTTTCATATTTCGATTCTACGGCTCAAATTATGGCTCGAGAAATTTACAAACTTAACTTGGCGCTTTTTTTTTTTTTTTTTTTTTTTTTTTTTGAGTTTGCGCCAAGAATAATTCACTTGGCGAACTTCTTCATTTATAGCAACCTATTTTCCTGTCCTTTTTCTCACTGTATACGAGAGGAAAAAAGGTCATCGTTCTTACTTTCAAATAATTTTAATAAAGTAGTTAACCACATTTGGCGTCATTATCGCTTTTAAAAAATATGCCAAATTTCAAAATGTGCCAATATGTAAATTCACGTATATGTTTAGAAATTTTGAATAAAAAACTTTAATTTTTTCAGGTATTCTTAGAAGTACATGTATTGTAATATGATGGTAAAAATGTTAGAGGATATAATTCAAAATTTTTTTCGAAAAATTTATAAAAAATTATTTAAAAATACAAATTTTAAAAATAAATCATAAAAAATGGCTGGAATTTTCTGAATTTTATTTGGAATGAACCTAAATTTCGAAATGTAAAATGAAGAATAAAGTTTAGTTAAAAAAAAGAGAGATTAATAAATATATACCATAATGAATTAACATGGAGGAGCTAAAACTTTTAGAGCTACTTTTTTAAAAACTACGCGTGCGATTTTTACAAAACTTGGCATAATTTGAGTCTAAAATCGAGATAGGGATTCGTATTATTATTCGTATATTTCTCTTCATTTGTGCAACCAACATTTACCGGTATGTGCTGTTTTCGTTTTTAGTATTCTCAGGAATTCCAATAATAATAGAGTAACCGCTTTCTGATAACACATTTTCAGCTCTGATCATGGAAAACAAACACTTCTCTAGACATTGCAGGAAATGCAAAAACAAAATGTAAAAGTAAAAATAAGAATACCGTCCTTTTTAGAAAAACCGTTCATTGCCGTTCTAGAGCCCAGAAAGCCAAAGCATTTAATTTTCCTTCGCGGAAAATTGCAGTTTTGGCCAGTAAAGCAAGCCCAAAGTATTACTGGAGTAATGTGTAGTATTTAGC